CCGTCTCGCCCATCCAGCCGTGTAATTCATGGCCTTCAACGCCCGGGATAGCCGCCGGTACATGAGCCTTTGCATCCGCTCCTGGCCCAGGTTGTAGTAAACAGACATCTCCTGGCTGAAATACTCCCGGCCAGCAGGGGAGTTCATCCCCCAATTCTCCAGCCTGGCGGCCACCACCTCGTAGCACCAGGGGAGCCTCTCATCGGCCTTCCACCCTTCGGCCAAGAACTTCTCAACAGCCTCATCGGCAGCCCTCACGACGGCGGCCTCGGCCTCAGCCTTCGCCTTGGCGGCCTCCTCGCTCCTGCGCTTCTCGGCCTCAAGCGCTCTACGGGACTCTGCGAGCTCCATTTTGCTCTCTTCGAGCTGGACCAGGGCAACGTCCCTGGCCGCGACGGCCTCATCAGCTTTGGCCTGCAGCGCCTTGGCGTCCTCCCGAAGCCGGTCAAGGCAAGCTACCGCCTCGTCGGCCGAGGCAGCCTTCTGCTCCAGTGCTTGCAGGCGGGCAATCTCCCAGTACTGCCTCTTATGGCTCTCCATAAGCATGAAGGCACTCTGCAGAAGAAAAACTAAGGTCAGGCAAAAACTCTACATAGACGAAGAAAGACATGGATATAAGGACAATCACTTACTTGGACGAGGAGATCCATGCCGCCCTCGTAAATCTTCGGGTCCTCGAGCTTCTTCAGATGAGCCCGATCTTTGGCCGGCATGGCCTTGGCCAGGACGACATGGCCGGGGACGAGCTCATTAAACACGCCCCCGCCGACGGGGTACTCTATCACTTTCTGATAGGTGGCACCGGCAACCTCCTTGCCGGCCCTCTGCGTCCGTGGTTCCTGGACGAGAGGAAGCGCTGGGGCGGTACCATCAGCAACAGTAAGGTCCACGACGGGACCACCATCGCCCACGCTGGGGACAGTAAGCGTACCGGCCTCACTGGCAGGAGAAGGGGAAGGAGCCCTCTTCGTCTTCTTAGAGACGCTCACGCCGGCCTCGGTCAACTTTTTTTGGCCGTCAGTGGCCGGTCTCTTTTTCTTGGACGGGGCAGGCTTTGGGGCCGCATCTGCAGTAGCCCCGCTCACACCGGCCGCGGCACGCCTGGACGCTTCGGCCGCCTTAGCAGCAATCTCCTCGGCCGCTTTGGCCTTTGCAATGGCCATCATGGAACGGCGGTCCATGACAAAATCTACAAGGGCAAAGCACAAACAGATTAGTAAGGAAAAGGACAAAACGTAAAGACAGAAAGCCGAAGAAAAATTACCGTCGACCTCAGCAGGAATGCCCAAAGGCGGGCCATCGGCCTCCTCAAAGGTGGTGGTCATCCTCGGCCAGAGTTGGAGGTCATCCTCCTTATCTCCATACAAGTGATATCTGAAGAAGCCGAGGGCCGTCATCTTGTATTCGGTGACGTAATCTTTCACGCTCCTCGGCCCCCCTTCCAGGAAAGCCTCCACCTGAGCGTCCAAAATAGAGCTCTTCGGCGGGTCATGAAGGTTGAACCTCCCGGTATGGCCGAGGGAGGGGAACTCGGTGCCACTCTCACCAATGGACACAAACACGAACTTGCTCTTCCACCCATGAATGGACGTAGGCAAATCCGTGAAGCTCCTCTTCCTCGGCAGCTGTTGAAGTGTGGCATAGGCCGCACAGTTCTTGTGGCTTCCTCGGCCGATCTGGTACAAGTTCATGAATAAGGCCGTGGTCGGCCTGTAGCCCAACTCCTCACACCGAAGCAAGAAGCCCACTATCAAGGAATAACTGTTCGGCGTCAGCAGGGCCGGAGGAAGCCCCACCATGTCCAGGTACTCGGTGACGAAAGGGTGAAGGGGGAACCTCAACCCCTTAGCAAAACTCATCGGGTATACTCCGAAGTATCCCGGTGGCGGAAGTAGAACATGGTCCGTCGGCCTGGGTGCCCTAACCCGCCCGAACGGCCCCACATACATCTGGGCGACAAGATAGTCGGCCTCACTGCTCTCCGGCTTAATCAAGAATATGTTGGTGAGGTCCAAGTAGGAGAGGCCCGGCCCATTCTTCGGCCTCCTCACCCTCTTCGGCTTAGCTGCGCCCTTCACGGCGGATACCGGCCTCGGGCACGGAACGGCAGCAGAAGTGGACGCCCCGTCCACCGCTCGGGACGCGCCTACGTCCCCACCCTCTGAAGAGGAGGCGGACTCCTCGTCCTCGATCTCCTCGTCCATCAGCTCTCCGGATTTGTAGGGGCTCAAACGCTCTATCTCCTCCTCAAACTCCTCGAGCACCTCGTAGTCAAGGGACCTCGTGGAGGGCTGGTCGTCGTAGGGGTAGTAGTCCTCGTTCAAGCTCTTCATCACTACTTTTACGGACTTAAGGAGAACAACTTACGATCTAAAGGTGTTTAAACGCCTAACACTAGATCAACTACTTACGGAGCAAAATATGAAAAGTGAGGAAGATCGTGATGAACACTAACCTCAAACAACGACGAACAGGCTTGGGAGTTTATCTCTCTAGAAAATCGGCCAACACTTCGACAAATTCAGAATGCAAATGTGATTCTTCGTCGGAGGGGAAGGGGTATTTATAGACCCCCACCACCAACGGTCACTACACGTGGCACTCACCCAATGGCCACATCAACGGCCACCACTGGGGGGCCACCACGTCACCAACGGGCCAGGACCAACCCATATCAACGGCCCACTGGCAAATCAGACTATACGGCCTACACACGCTCAACGGCTTTACAACTGCCAGCAAGCGCCCACAACGTCCCACTTGCTCACCAATATCTCAAAAATGCCAAACAATAAGAGGATGGCAACGGCCAGGTACGTGACGGCCACAGAACAAAGGGAACAAATAGTCCACAGCCTTCGGCTCCTCGTAATAACCCTTGATGATAACTCTCTACAAGCGATCTGCGCACAAGGGTTCTCCCACAGGGTTACCTTGGCCAGAAAATCGCCATGGGAGTTGGATTCAGGGGGACTACGGCGAGACCGCTTCGGCTAGGGACTCAAGCAACTCCTTCACCCCTCACACTCTTCGGCCTGAAGCAGTGGGGGACTGGGGGACTACACCGGCCTCAACGAAACAAAGGTATAAACAAGGTAACCACAAAACATAGCCACATCATCCATACAGCACAACAGAACTTCATCGGCCAAAGGCCCATAACGTCACTAGCAACGGCCAACAAGCCACTAGAGGCAAGGACACTCATCGTCCTCCGCCAACAATTAATCTTGACGGCCCCTTCGGCCAAGAACACGAAGGCCAACCAGCAACGGCCAAAAGGAGTGCGCGAGCACCCTCATCGGCCACCCAAAGGAAAGGACGCCATCGTCCTCAAAGCAAGGAACGACCTCACCGGCCCAAACATAAACCTCAACCACCAACGGCCAGGAAAGGGAAAGCGCGCCCTCAACGGCCACCAACGAAAGAAGGATACCCATCGCCTTCGACGGCCACCATTGAAACAACGGCCTCCCCGCCCACAGCGAGGAACAGGTAACGGCCAAAGCGCAGAACAGGATCACCAAAATAGAAACAACGCCAATACCGCAACAACTAACGGCCTGGGAATGCCCACATCGGCCAAAAGCAACAAAGCACAGAAATCTACTCTCCTTCACTTCGTCTACGTCTCAACTTAGAGAGTGGGGGACTCCTGATGGAGTATATGGGTCTGAGCCCCAGGACCCACATACTCAGAAGAACAGAGCGCAAGACATCAGAGTGGCGCCCTCGTCGGCCATGGCGCCCCCGTCGGCCGAAAAGGTGCCAACCCAGATTACAGTCCTGAGTCTAAGGGACTCGGGTGCCCTCGTCGGCCGCGCCTCGTCGGCCGTGCCCTCATCGGCCGCGCCCTCGTCGGCCACGAAGACCTCCCAGAATCGGATCCTATACTTACTCATTTGTACAGCCCATCAGAGGCTTTGTATTCGGCCCAGTAGCGGTCCAGTTGTAAATGGGCCTCCCAAGCCCAAGGCTTGGGAGCCCAACCCTAATTTTCTCTATAAATACTCCCCTTGGGAGTAGTTATAGGGGTTACAAAATCATTCTATTGAAGCATATTACTGCACTTCTCTCTCTAGCTCTCACTTCTCTCTAGATATACTCTATCATATGTATTTTAATAAAAGATGTTTAAAATAAGAAAAAGCAAATTAATATGAAAATGACATGTGTCAAATGATTGTGAGCATGACACTTGTCAAAGTGGTTACTTGCAAATGTATAATATATAGATATAGATATAGATATAGATATAGATATAGATTTAGAAGTCACATGTGGCAGAAATAAAATGAAACGGCAAAACAATAATAATGGGAAAGATTGTCATAAATGGAAAGTGATCAAGTACGGTATAATTACTTAATGAATTTGAGAATGCATTACCAAATTATGTATTTTAATAAAATATGTTTAAAATAATAAAAGGCAAATTAACATGAAAATCACATGTGTCAAATGATTGTCAGCATGACACTTGTCAAAGTAGTTACTTGAAAATGTATAATTGGGGTACCGTACCTACCATTCATTTGATTGGTCCAAATCATTATATAATTTTTAATTTAGATTTAAATAATTCAACTCCACCATTCTGATTGATCCATGTGGACAAAAGTATGATACCTTAAGAGTACCATAGAATCTACCTAAATAGATTAACATGAAAATGACATGTATCAAATGATTGTCACCATGACACTTGTCAAAGTGGTTACTTGAAAATGTATAATATACAAAGGTGACAACTCCGATACTCATTTAAAAAATGGGGTACCGTACTTATCACTTACATGATTTGTCCAAATCATTATATCATTTTGAATTTAGATTTAAATAATTCAACTGCAAAATTCTGATTGATCTATGTGAACAAAGGTATGGTACCTTAAAGGTATCATATAATCTACCAAAATATAGGTGACAACTCTAGTACCCATTTAAAAAAAGTATGGTACATAGAACCTACCACATATAAATATAGCTTCGCCTACAAATAGATTACGACGCGTACGCAAGAAAAAATTCTTTATATACTTCTCAGTATTTGAAATAGATTCATCCAAAAGTTTCCAATTCATATCAAACACTCGACTGAGACACTATGCATCCAGTCAGCTTGCTGCATGACACGTCGATGGCAATCTCAGAATACATCAGCTACGCAACACTCCTCCCACTCTGTTTCTTGATTTCCCTTTCATATTTGGCGGCGGTGAAATTCAGCGGCACCGCCAGCTCAATCATTCCCCGGGATTGGGTTCTGGTCGGAATGCTGCCGGCGCTCCTCCGCAACGCCCACAGAATCCACGAGTTCGCGACGGATTTGGTCAAGGAGGGCGGCGGGACGTTTGAGCTTAAAGGTCCGGTCTTTGCGAACATGGACATGCTCGTGACCTCGGACCCCGCTAACATCCACCACATCCTCAGCAGAAACTTCGCCAACTACCCAAAGGGTCCACAGTTCCGGAGAATCTTTGACGTTCTCGGCGACGGGATCTTCAACGTCGATTCCCACCTCTGGGAGCTTCACCGGAAAACCACCATCGCCTTCCTCACCCACTCCCGCTTCAGGACCCTCCTAGAGAAAAACGTGTGGGGTAAGGTGGAAAATGGGTTGCTGCCCGTTCTTGATTCTTTTGCCGGGAGTGGGGCCCACTTTGATCTTCAGGACATTTTCCAGAGGTTCACGTTCGACTCCATAGCCACCCTCCTTCTCCAGGAAGACCCCGGAAGCTTGACCGTTGACCTTCCCTACGTTCCCTGCGAGAAGGCCTTCAACCGTGCGGTGGACGCCCTCCTCTACCGGCATATTCTGCCGGAGACCGTCTGGAGGGCGCAGAATTGGCTCGGGCTCGGTAAAGAGAAGAAGCTCAACCATGCCCGGCGGGATATTGATGATTTCATATTCTCCTGCATCAGAATCCGGAGAGAAAAGGAAGAAGAACAGTGCAGAGAAAATGATTCGGGCGGTCTCTGTTCCGCCGCTGCCGCCGATGGGTCTCTGTTCGCCGCATTCGGGAAAGAATACGATGATCAGTTCCTAAGGGACACTTTCTTTAGCTTAATATTCGCCGGCAGGGATACGACGAGCACCACCCTGACCTGGCTTTTCTACCTTCTCGACCGGAATCCGACGGTTCAAGAAAAGGTCCGGCGAGAGATTGAGGAAAAATTATACCACAACTCGCCGTCGCCGTCGCCGTTGAAGTGTTTCAAGGTGGAAGACTGCCAGAAACTGGTGTACCTCCACGGAGCTCTGTGCGAATCGCTCCGGCTATACCCGCCGGTGGCGCTTGAGCACAAGGTTTCGGCGGGGGACGACGTTCTGCCCAGCGGCCACCGGGTGAAACCCAACACCAGAGTCATAGTATCTATCTACTCGACGGGGAGGATGGAGTCAGTGTGGGGCGAGGACTGCATGGAGTTCAGGCCGGAGAGGTGGATCTCCGACAGAGCCGGCGGCGGGGTCAAGCACGAGCCGTCGTACAAGTTCCCGGCGTTTAACGCCGGACCAAGAACGTGTTTGGGGAAGGAGATGGCCTTCGTGCAGATGAAAATGGTCGCTGCGACCATCTTACAGCATTATAACTTCAGAGTGGTGGATCCGGATTCAGTTTCTACCAGTGATTCCATTATCATTCAAGCTAAGCACGGCCTGAAAGTCCGATTCAGCCGGCGAAATTAGCGAGCCCTGCCTATCTACCTACTTCCCTTTCTTCAAATAAGTACTTGTACATTTTTGTCCGTTGCTGCTGTAATCAACTTCTTGGTACTTTCTTCTTTCATCACTGGTTTGTTTGTATTACTACAAATGTCTAAAATCCATCAATCATATATTCGTCGGTCTTCTTTGAAAAATAAAAGCAAATTGTTATAGGACTGGACGACTGGTAGCTCTTTGTTGCTCTCTCGCGGCAACAGCCCCTGAAAAAAAAAATTGATCCAAATTTTTTTCTTTATATGTAATTTGATTAGATTTCTTTTTTTATTTTTAAGTTTAATTACTTAGGCTTAATGTTTAATATTATTGACAATTTGAAAATTTAAAACATTAATAAAGAGTCTTAAACAGAGCCAGGTTTAAAAAAGAATACATACATTAATTTTTAGCAGAATCGGTTGTAGGTTTTAAAAGCAATACAATTGTTGATGCATAAATAAATGACACATCTCTCCGGTCCTCACATTTTTTTAACTTTTAAGAGTTTTTATTCATTTAAATTATAACATAACAAATTTATATAATTATTTTAGAACCCGTTTCTCTCAAATCTCACCCCAATTATTCATTGTTTCCAAATTTCAATAAGCTATATCTGAGTTCTAATAGTTACGTTGTTTTAGAGGACGTAAAATTTGTAATCTTCTTGCGTTAGTCCTTTTGGTAGCTAAACATTTTGTCTCTTTGAAAACTTTCATTCTTTCGAGACTTCAAACTTTAGACTCTCATCAACGGCCAATAAATCATTCTCAACTTATGAATTCAATATGTGGTAATATTTCTTTTCAAATCCTTTCAAAAGAAAATTTAATGTTCGTTGTTACATGTATCAATTTTATTGTTTGTCATATTTATTGGTGGAAAGAAGGTTGCCTATGATGCAATTATTTATGATTTGATTCACATTGTTCTACGGGGAACGTTTTTAAATAATGATTTTTCTTTGTATTCGATACTCGTGTTGTTACTGTTGCTCAAATATGTAACATAAATAATAATAAAGTGATTTTCACCTTTATTTTATGAATTCATTGCCCAAATACGATTTATTGTTTGTCATTAATATAAGCCCAAAATAGTGTACCGCTCGTAATTAAGCGCAGAAATGGACAGGATCGGCCTTGCCTTTGTCCCATTAATAACTCTCCTGTTTTGATCACTGGGTCGCATAAACTCCAATATTGTCGAAAATGAATATTCTATAATTGAAAGTTAAAAAGCTCAAAGAAGACGAATATGAATCACAAAATCTTGTTTTTTTTAAACAGAAAAATCACAAAACCTTTGACACCGGCCATGGTAAACTGATGTCTTTAGGCTTTTGTGCAGGAGATATTTTGCTTCCCCCATTTGTACTCATCGGGCATTTGAAGTCATTAAAGTTAGGATTTGGATATATGTTTACTAGTTAAGAAGTTCGGTTGGTTTGATCCAATATGAGTTCTTTTTATTTAGTCTCATTCGATTGATTTGAAATTTTTTATTTCAATTGAATTTTTCTGATCTGTTTTAAAATTGATCTTATCCGAATCATTCTTATCTGATTGAGTTTTTATTACTATTGTTGTTAATAATATTATTATTATCCATGTTGTTGTTGTTATGACTATAGTTGTATTTTTTTTATAATTAATAGAGTTTGTATAATATAGTAACATTCAAATATTACTAATAGTAACAATACATTAATAATTAATAATATAGTGTTAATAATAGTATCATCGATAATAATCATAGCAACAACATTTGACGTTTTTTAATAAAAAAATAACTTTATTAAAAAAGGAAATGAAATACTTTGTAAGTTACCAGGAAAAAAGAAGAAGAAAAACATGAAATGAGAAAGAAAAAAGACAAACAAATAGCTAAAAGTCTAAAAGACTAAAACCCAACCAAGGAATAAAGATAAATCCCTCCCTGAGAACATGGGCCCCTAGCTAGTCAAATCTTCAAAACCCCACTCTTGTTTGAGATCTATTTCTCATGAAATGTGATCATTGATTCTTTCTTTTAGTATATTCCCTTTTGTGTGTTAGATTCTGAGTTGGCAAACATTTTTCTCGTGTAACCAATAGGTTTTTGAGATGGGAACCCTCTTCTCATTCTCCAAGATATGTTCAATAAATTCATCCCCGGAAAATGTAAAGCCCGGATAATAAAATAAGAATAAGCAATAAGCAATAAGAGTAAAACAAACATATAACATCTCCTAGATTATCTATGTTATGGAATCCATAACTGTTCACCAGTGGCAATGATGGCATTTATTTCGAGACAAGTGAAAAGGAAACTATGAAATAATAATAGAAGAGAAAAGAGTAATTGTCTTTTAATTTGATTTACATGTTCTAGAAATGCTTAATGTCACTTTAGAAAATAAGGTTGTTAGCTACCTTTGTGTACAGTAATTACCTAGCTTTTATGAATCATGTGGTTTTGAATATCGACATATATTTTATGCTCAAGTAGTAGTAATAGTATTCATTATTATTAAGTTTGTGGTTAGAGCATACAAGGTTAAGGCATTCTTAATGTCATATTATGTTGAAGTGTACATTTCCATGGTTCTACTGGACATTTTTAAAACACGTGTTTTCAGATCATTTTAATTACATTCTTAAGCACCACTAGCAATACTATTTGACGACCCACATAAGATCATTTCTTTAATATTGATATGAAACTTAATAAGAAATGATTCTTCTTGTGACTTCATTTGAATAGTTGATATATGTTTTTTAAAGCCTATATTTTTACTCTTTCGTGTGATGTCTTCGTATTTAATGCATGTTTGCTAAAGGTTTTCTTTATTCAAGCATTGATATGCACTCTGGGAGGGGTTGAGTTACGTTCACACCAATTTAGTTGGTATCTAAAAAGACCGTGTAGATCGCATCAAAATGATTATAAAGCCTCAAATATCGAAAGATCAATAGAAGAGAATGTTAAACGCTTGATTTATACTTCTCATTAGGTGGGGGAGAATCCAACTATATCACGTAGTTTGAGTAGTAGAGCTTGGGATAGACACTTCAACAAATTTGTGTAGTGTGTTCTCTGGTTAAATGATGTGGATTGTTTTAATCAAACAATTAAATGTAGTAAACAACAATTTATTTAAATAAGGCAAGGAGGAGATGGCATCGTGATTTATATTTGTTCAGGAAGCCCTACCTGAGTACGTGAAAGCACCTCCTTCAAGATTCTGGAACCCAAGATCCTCAAGTTTCCTCAAACTCAAGCAAAAGCACCGCAAAGAACTCCTTGAAGAAAAGAAAAAAAAACTCTTGCTAATGATGGCTAAGGTGTTTCAATAGTTCTCTTCAACCTGAGGATTTGTAGGTTACGTTATCCTCTACCTAAACTTGTAGGCTCTCTACAATCATAAGGATTTAGGGATAGATCTCTTTGACCATATACAAAACAGACTATGTGTAGGATCTCCTTGACCTTGATTACACGATGATGTGTACTAAACGTTGATACATAACAGTCTTTTTACTCTTGTCGGATAAAAATGATTTGGAGAAAGAGTGTACGAGAGTATCTAGTATACTATATTTAAACAATTACAATTGAAATCTTGAGATGTAAGACTACACCATAGATTAAGAGGATAAGAAAAACTTAGAGCTTTGGCGATTCATGATGGAGAATTCTTCTGCGGCGGTGGAGCCACCATTGATCAAGGCGTGGGATCGGAAATCCTATGCGGATGTAATGGCGGGCGATGATATTTTTCAAAGGCGAGCCTACGTTGGTTGTGCTACGCAAATCTTTTGAGATAATTGGTTTCAAGGGTTCGTTCCATCTGGGAGTGTTGGACAATAAACATGTGTTGATTCGATTTGCTTTGGAAGAAGATCTTTTACGTTGTTGGAATAGACAATCCTATATTATCCATGGTCACACTATGCGTGTAACCAAATGGACCCTTGAATTTCATCCAAATGTGGAATCCCAGTGGTTCTAGATTCGATTTCTTTGGAAGAGCTTTTGATTCATCTACACGATAAGAAAGCATTATTTGAAATTGCTGGTTTGATAGGCAAGCCTCTTAAAATTGACTCGACTACTGCTAATATGTCTACACCATCTATTGCTCAAGTCTATGCGGAATTGGATGTCACTAAGGAGATGCCTCAAAAGGTGTGGATTAATTGTGGCTCTTATGGCTTTTCTGAGAATGTTATTTATGAGATTAGGCCAGAATATTGCTCATCTTTCCTACACTTAAGTCATTCTCACCTAAAATGTCCTATGAGGGCTTCAGAACAGCCTAAGATGATTTCCTTACCCAAGGACATATGGATTCCTAAATCAAATCAAGATAAGACATACATACATGAGAAGAGATTTACCGCAACAAAAAAGGGGAAAGGGAAAATAACAAAAGGTCCTGGACATTATAAACAAACTACATCCAAAGTTGAGGACGTCCAGGTAGACAGTGACACTAATATTGAGGAGCTCTTCTTGGACTCTATGGAGCAGCCTACAACAGAAGATAGAACTCTTTACTCCATGTTAAGATGATATTCCAAGGCTCTCTATCTCAGATCCCAAGGATATAACAATGGTTAAAGATGACGTCCCAATTTATTCTTCTACTTTTTATGCTTGATTGTTGCCTTCCGGAGAGATTTTGGTCTGATCACATGCTCTTTTGTACTTCTTATTATCTTAATAATATTTGGAAAATGTTCCCAGACATTTAGCCCACCGATGGATGGTTTACCTACCGGGTTTAAAAAAATCATAGATTAAGAAAAACTCGATAGTGGCGCAAAGTAGCTCTTGATGCTGATAGATGAAAAATTAATTCTCTAATGTTGTTTCTTAACCTACTTACCTATTGGCTCTTGAGCTTCAATTTATACTTCATTTCTAAGTGTATAAGCTATTCTAGAAATGAACTAAATGAGTAGTGAGTGTATAAAGTGATGCGAAGACTTCAAGAGTTCTCACAATGCATGGTAAGTTCTTCATAAATAATAGAATACAACTAGTTCTTCAAAACCATTTGAAGGATATTCAATAAAAAGTTTGAACTCCTAATCATTATAGATCTAAATGGTAATAAGTTGACATGTTACTCGAGGACATATAATAAATAGATCTACAATAGTAATTTGAAGAAAAAGATTGGTGGGTAAAATAAAAAATCACAAGATGCAAAAGGTATTTTTTCTAGGTCTAATACAC